ACCCAGAGTGCAGGGGCGCCAGCTGCAGCCGTTCCAGAAGCTGCCTCAGCGAAAACTCGCTGGGCGCTCTCTGCTCCTCTGCCTTAAAGTGTTTCACTTTTAGTGGGTATAATACGGAAAACCAAGTAGTTGGCAAAAAGTTAAAGTCCTAACATCCAAGCAAAATGCGCCAAAGAAAACGTGCCCGGCCCTGCAGCTGTGTCTCACTTCCAATCGAGTGGATGGCCCAAACAAAAGTATTCTGGAACTTTGTGTGCAAGCCGCTAAAACCGTCTAAGCCCAAAGGTAAAAATCACATGGCTCAGGAAGTGAGGTGTTCAAATATTAGCTTTTAGTGCATTCGGAAACCCAACCACTAAACCCGCTAAAAAGCCTAAGTTGAACCGGACGATTTGCTGGGAGCCACTGACCCAAACGCTCTGATTTCAGACGAATTTTGCCTTGTAAAGGGGCCTTCCGAACCTCAGGTTCCATGCTAATTGGAACCTGAGATGACTTCAGAGAATCTGCCTTGCAAAGGGACCTTTCAAACCTCAGGCTTTCCTCCTTTTTGTTGTTCCTTTTCTCCCGGGAGAAGGCGTGAAGATCTGAACAGCGGCTGGGGGGCATTGGTAGACCATCTCCGCCTCCTGGATCCGCGACTTCCACTTCCGGAGGCCCAGGGCGTCCAGCAGCCGCGTCAGCTCCGCGGCGGTGGCGGCCCCGGCCAGGGTGGCCAGCGCTGCGGACGCCGCGATCACCACCATCCCGGCCGCGAAAAAAACCGACGGCGATCGACCAATGGGGGGTGCAAAAGCCAAGCGCTTGGTTTTCTCTCTTTTTCTTTTTGGTCTATGTGCGACATGGACTGGGGCCTTTGTCTCATGAGGCATGTTAGAGGCCGGGGATGTTTGGGGTCCAAAGAGCGGCGCCGGTTCCGGAGCCAACTTGTGCTTTGAGAGCCCAAAGCTGCCATGGCCGAAGGTGATACAGCTCACGGCGAGGCCGGGAAGGTCCCATGTCGCCTTTGTGCTCCTACCACTGCCATCAGGACATCAAACTCGAATCCCTTCCCTGCGTAGCCAAGAAAAGGCAGCCCCTGGTGCGACCTGCTTCTGGTTTCTGCTTTTCCCCGCGCCTGCTGGTTGGCCGAGGGGCATGCTTGGCAGCTGCAAGCAAAAGGAGGAAATGAAGGTCATCACCTCTAGCGGTTTGAAGCCAGAGCATGGGAAAAAAGTCGGAAAAAAAACACCAAGCTCGGCACCCAAAGCCATTCCCGAATGACCCAGGTTGGTACCTGACAAGCAGATGTGCATCCGAGCCTAAGCACCACTTTCGGCGCACCGCCAAGTGGAAACGCCCGTTCAGCTCGGCCATCATGACTCCCAGCTCCTGTCATGGCATGGCCCGCCCCGACTGCCTAGTCTCACCTGCGGTGTTCATCCTCCATGGCCCACAGCCACGGAAGGAAACTCATGCAGCCCAGCCGCATTGGCTGAAACGCGCCTGTCGCCAATGGTGTAGAAATAGAAGCCTCAGCGATGGCCACGAGGCCGAAAGCGCACCAACTCTCCTCATATTTGTGACTTCCAGCCATGCCTCGCTGGAGCATGCTGGAGCCAAGAAGCTAAAAGTAGCTGGAGCGGAGCCTTTTCTCGCTGTGCAAGTCTATAATCTGAAAATAACATCTCAGCGCACGCTGCCAGCCCGGCGCGCTGCTCGCTGCGCAAACAAACCAGGCTGCTCACTTGCCGCCGTCAAGAGTCGCAGGCAACGTCTCTGGCAGCTGCAGTCGCAACGGGGCCAGTTGATTGAGCCGTGGCATTAGCACATAAGAGGCACATGCTAAGAGCGCATGCTAAGTCAACAATTGCCGGCGCATGTTGCGACAGCACGAGAGGTGCACGAGTCCAAGCCCCCGCGAAATCTCAAAAGTCTCGCTTGAAACCCTGCTGTCAGCGGATTCTGGCCGACTCAGCCCAGCGACGGTTGCATGTTCAAGGCCGGACGCCTGTGGGCAGAACATGTCCGAACCGGCATTGCAGCGTGTTTTGCCATGACGTTCATTCCAAGTTGATTACTCGGGGCTTTGACAGCTCAACTAAGATTCAAAGAAAAGACTCGCCCCCGCCCCGAAAGTGGGAAAATCTCTGAACATCTGGCAAAAGGGTGTCGGGGCCCTCTATGCCTTGTGTCCCTCGCACCCCACAAAAGCCGGACTGCTGCTGGGGAGGGCAACCCTGAGGGTCTAAGTGCGCTTAAAATTGCCTTAAGTGACCTCTTTGATCTGGGCCTAAGTAGCCTTATTTTCAACATGGAGCATGGCACCCCAACAATGAATCGAGGTCAACGATGAGACGGCTGCCTGTTCCGCCACGCCAGAGCGAGGCCCAAAACAGCCAAGGCTGTGATGGGCAAGAAGGCAGCAGCACTCAGTTCCTGCAAATCTTGGAGCGCACACTGATGCACATTGTGCCGAATTGGTAGGTTTTCCTCTTGGCTTCCCTTCATACTTGCTGGATTCAAGATTCCAGATCTAGAGTCCTTGGAATCTTGAATCTTAAATCCAAAAGTGCTTTAAAGCGCTTTAAAGCACTTTGGGCAGATAGAGTCACAGTCAACTGTGCAGATGCGGGCATGAGTTAGAGGGTCAAAATTGAAGCGCCTGAAAAGGGGGTGGACATCGCCCAAAAGTACTGCAAATTGCAAATACCGTTACATTCTCTTCGGGCGCCGGTTGGGGGGGGGGTGTGGGGGTTGCCGTGTGTGCGTGTGTGTGTGTGTGTGTGTGTGTGTGTGTGTGTGTGTGTGTGAGTGAATCCTCAAAATAACAAACATCGAAATCAAAAACATGTCACTCACCCACATCCAACATATTTCAGTCATCTATAACTCAAAGGAACATGGCACCACTATGCCGGGGGCCGCCGACTTGTCAGCGGAATGAGCCCCTCCGGCCTCCGTACACAACTCATGCAACTCCGATTGATGGAATCCAATTTCTCCAATCCGATTTGGGTATGGGTCAAAATTAAACCACCAGGAATTGGACCGCGGATTTTAGTCCATGTTTCCATTTACCAGGGCAAGCCATTTTGGGTACATATTTTTGACCCGCAGCCATTTGTCCAACCCCACGTTCAGCACAATGTCAATGTGCAAAAAACCAACGCAACATTTGCGCGGAGTCTGAACACAACCTCCCCATGGCTCGTGCGGCTGGTCTTTTGCGGCCTCCGGAGCGGCAAAGAGCTCCGTGCCGCGGAGCATTACTGGCGCAGCTGTGGTGGTTTCCTCAGACGAAGCGTAGAAATGGGTGGTTTAGATCCCGGCGGTTTGGGGGAAATGGGGCAGTTGCCAATTGACCCTCTACAAGAACCAGGGGTTCAAATCCAAAACCAACCTGAAACTCCACAGGACATGTGCCAAACACATACCCAAAACAACAACACGGGCTTCCTGCCGCTGGCAGCTTGGACAAGGAACGGAACTCATTCACCCCGAACAGCAGATGCAAAGCCGTGCAAAGCGCATGGCTGCTGCAATCATGAGTCTCCACAACTTCCACTTGCTTAAGCCCCCTGGAGAAAATATGTCCAGCAGTGATAGACTTTTGGTAAAAAAACAACAGGGGAAAATACGCGACATATTTATAAGCAAATGGACGAAGAACTTTTCGCGCCCGGGCGCCATCTTCTGGAGAGCTGCCTTCACTCGCTCTTCTCGCTCTTTGGCGTCCTTCTCGGCCTCATGCTCCAACTGGTGGCCTCGATGCTCCACCTGCGACACGAGCAGACTTCATCCCTATCGCCAGCGCACGCCGCTGAATTGGCAAAACAAAACAAACCAGGCCGCAACGACGCAACTCGTGCGCAGGGTTCGAAAGGTGGAGTTTGACGCGAGAAGAAGGGAACCATGACCTTGGCGATTCCACTTTAGTTGCGCAGGGTTTCAAACCCGCAACGACAACAAGGATTCAAGCTTCCCACTTTCCTCATGGTCGAACCCCCCCATACAGGCCTAAATTCCTAGTGCGGTGCGCCTTGCCCTCGACTTGCTCGAAAAACTTCTCCACCACTCCCTCGGCCTTCTCGCCATACCTACGGCAGAGATGGAGGGACTTGGCTTTCCGGGAAGACTCGGCCAACAACAAAAGGACAACCACAGTTTCGGGGGCCTTCTTTGACACATTCCACGGATTCGGATGCTCGAAGGTGGTTCTGATCCCAATGTATCTGCAAGCAAAGGACCTTTCTCGTGGCATTCGCTCGTTATACCCGGATCGGTGAGCTCGCTATGGGCAGATGTATCTCCTGACCCGTTCTCTCGTCCATACGAACGAAGCTGGCCTTTCGGCCTTTTGCGACAGGCCCTCCGTGTTCTTCTCAGCCTTTCCGATGCCTCCTTCGTATTCCGCTTCCTTCTGGCCAGCCTTCAGGGAGCGAGGCTCTTTTTACAACCCCTGGTATGCGCTTGCGACAAAAGGTACTCTTTTCCCACTAACATCAACAATAAAACACAAACCATGGCAACACGGTCGGCTCCCTCTCAAGCACATGGCCGTGGCCTTCCGCCCCAGACTTTCGACCTTCCTTGCGATCTTCATGGCCTCAAGTCAAGACGCGAGAGGCCATAGGATGTTACAGGCACGTGAGTCACTTGCTCAAAACCCGGTATTAAAATGGTCGTAATCCCAGAACCATGTAAAGAATTTAGAAGGCGGATATCCGCACTATTTCTGGCAAGGGGATCGTCCCTTACTAACCTTCATCTACCCGGGTTTTGATTGTGACTCATGTGTGATACCGTGGGTGGACAACATCCTGCAGTTAGCAGGTATTTCGATCCCACGATCGAAGGATTTTGTCCATCCGCAGTGTCACACGGTCGTGAAGCGCGTGCTTGCAAAGCTTGAAATGCTGCCTCGAGGGCCGGAATTGCACAAGCTGCACACGCATGGATACCCCAAAAATTCCGCTCAGCGGCATAGCGTGCTTCTTTCTGGATGGTACGCTGCATATTCCTGGCTTTGTCCTTGTCGGTTGATCGGAGCTCGTGATACTTCTTCTTCATGGCCTTGGGCAAGCTTGGGAAGCGATTGAAGCCTGAGCACTGAAGATTTCAGGCCATCTTGCTGACCTATAGCCCTTCTCTTTTCGTGATGTGGGACTGCACGCGATTAACGTCGCCCACTTTGCAAGTTGCTCCTATCATGCTCAGGCCACCCGCCTTAATCACTTGCTTGGACAACTTTTCGATGTCCTTGGACATCTTCTTCAACTCCTTTGCGAAAGGTGCACATCTGACAAGTTCCCATGAATGCATGCCCACCCAATTGTTTGCCAAAACCTAAGCCAGATTTGCACCTGAGCAACCGGCTCAGTTGCCCAAAGGATCCAGAAACAAAGGAAAAAGCCCTGTAAAGTGCCACGGCGAAAAATGGGCCAACCTGGGAAAGCCAAAAGGTCAACAGGTCGATTCGCTTTGGTTGCCAATGAGCAGATTCTTGCCACGACTTCTTCATGGCGCAAGTTCCACCTCAGCCGGCCTTCACGGCATCCTTCACCTCGGCCTCGTCTTTCTCAGGAAGGGCCTAACTCGACTGGAGACAAACACCACAACCTCAGGTTGCGCAAAACAATTGTCCAACAATTGTTGTATTTTGCCAGGTTGTACAAAACAATTGTCAAACAATTGGTGTATGTTGACCGGTTTTTGCAAAACAATTGTCCAAGCAAGTGTTGTACCTGGGCAGGTTTTGCAAAACAATTGTCCAAACATCAGACCGCTTCTGGTGTAATTGCGTAACTGTAAAGGCCGTTGCAGAAGCCCCGAGATGCCTTCAGCTTCTCGTCGAAGGCAGAGTTCATCTTGTCTTTCTCATCGCTGAACTCTTTCTGCGCTTCTGACCTCGTACCAGGCGAATGGAGATAACCTATCAACTCCCAGTCCGAGCGGCTGGATTCGGCTAGCCACCTCATCTGCCTCACCCTGCTTGTCAGCAGAGGTGACAATCCCCTGGCAAGTCGCTCAGGAAGGCAAACATAACTTAAGCTGGTGCGATAGGTAGGAAATGCCCAGGGTTCGGGAATGGGGATTCCCTTAAAGGAATCCATAGAGAATGGCTTATAGACATAGGTGGCCTTTTGGAAAAATAGATGGGTGTCCCTGGTAAATGGTTTATAAAACCATCCAAACCAGTCAAACCCATCTATGCTTGTAGAGCTCATTCCATTTCTCATTTTTGTATCGAGGCAAGAGCGCGAAAGGCTGAGATTGCAGTTGCAGTTGCAGGTGGTTTGGTGGTTATGATGTGGCTTCTCATCTACCCGCTACAAGAACCAGGGACTCGCTCAATTCCCCAAACCAAAGCCACCAAAGGGCGACCTGATCACGTCACGTCCTTTGCCTCCAGCCACTTTTCCAGCTCCTCTAGCTTGCTGGAGGCACCCTCCAGGCTGTCCTTCTCCTCTTTCTCTGCCTCCCAAATCGATGGCTTCGCCACGGAGATGTGGGTGTGGGTCAACAAATAGGTACCCAAAATAATGGCTTGCCCTGGTAAATGGAAACATGGACTAAAACCTGAAATCCAATTCCTGGTGGTTTAAACTTGACCCATACCAATGTGACTGTCCTTTGATGCAATCTGACCAAGACCCTGTTGAGGGTTCCCTGAATGCTTGGCGCCTGTCTCACCGCGCTAGCCGCTAGCAGGGACCCTGTGGCACTTGTCATGACCAACTGTTCACCCACACATACACACTCGCGAATAGACAAAAATCCCCGCCCTGGTTCTCATGTTTGCCCCAAAGAATCTTGGAATCTCCAGGCAAGTCATTACTCGGTTGCTTTCTGCTCCCCTGCCAAAATTTTAAATTTGGGCGGTTTTTTGGAGAACCCACTAGTGGGCAAAAAGTTATTCAGTCCTAACATCCCTTGGCAAAGTGCACCAAAGATTAGTCGGATGCATACGCAAGGTGCCATGAAGGAGATCAAACCCCCGCAGCTCGGGCCTCCTGGAGGTCCTTGTCTGCCTGGCGCCAGAAGCTGAGTTGGGCTGCGAGATCAAACATGTGCCATCGCCACCCCGGATCAAAACACGTTTTGGTTCACAGTTGGTTGAGTTCAGGTTGATGTGGCAATGGCTCAAACACATGTACCAAAATGGCACCTTGGCAAATGGACCTGCGAAACCCTGGCTCTTTATTTTCGAGCCACACCCATTTGAGGTGGCAAAAAAACAGCGGTGGCGACAACAACCCTGAGATGTCCTGTGACATCGGTGTGGTGGTTGTCGCTTGGGCTGCAGCATGCGCCAGGAGAAGCCTCACATGGCAGTCGTGCCCACACTTGAGCTTGTTTGCTCCTTCCCCCTAGGGATGCAGGGCAAATATGCCAGGCAATCCCGTAAACAAATGGTTGGCTCGGCCCTGAATTCCTCACAACAGGTGCAAAGTCAGTAGTTTCTTCCCTTACAGACGTCATGTTCCATGCCGTGCTGGATGTGGGAGTGTGCCTGGCCAACTGTGTGTTTACCCACGCCGCCCCCTTCTTCCCACTGCATCTTGCTGGTTGTTTCAACGACGCACGAAACCACACCTTGATAGCTCAATGCACTGCCAAGTCTTGCAAGGGCTCACACTCATCAGCGCACAGGCGCGCACGCAATGTCGGGTACTATGACGGGTGACGCAATCCACAGACACACGAGATGCTCGCCGAGGGACACTTCGTATATGTCGCATTTGGAGCGAAAATCAAAAAGGTCAGCCAGCGCAACCCGAGCAAAGGGGCACAACACCCCGCGTGGCGCGGCCCTCCGCGACGTGAAGAGCACCCTGCGCCAGGAACACGGTGAAAGTCTGCGTCTGATCAGTTTCCGGACGTGTTTGCGCCATTTTGCGAACTCTCATGTTGGTCCCTTTTCTTTTTTTGTTGCCCGAAGGACCCAAACATTACAGGTTAGCCTGTTGGGAGGATGACGAAGCAAATAGACAACATTAGGAAAGCAAAAGGATCAAAAGGTCGATTCGACATAATCAAAACCTGGTATTAAAATGGACCCAGAACCATGCAAAGGATTAAGAAGGAGGATATCCGCAACCATTTATGGTTGGGATTGCCCCTTAACCTTCATCTACCCGGGTTTGGATTGTGGCACAGTTCCTTCGCCCGGCTCAACAGGCGTCGGGGCGTCGGGCCAGGCGCCTGGATTAAACATGTAGCCCAGGTAAACCAGAATGCGTCTACAAAGTTCCAGTAGCTACCACAAAGCGCCATGGTTGAACCGAGTTACACCCAATCTGAACAAAACACCAGTTTGGCGACACAACCCTCGATTCGCTTTGGGCTTGCCTCTTGACAATCAGCCTAAGTCTAATCCTCCATTTGCTCAAGCCCCCTGGAAAAATACAACAACAAAAAAAACAGCTCCCCTTTGAATTGAAACCAACAGTGGAAAATCACAAATATTACTAAGCAAATGGAAGTAATCCCGAGATCGCATCAAAGCCGAGCTGCAGCAGGATTGCTCCTGTCCGCATGGCTGCAGTTGTCTCCTCTCGGGCACGACCTCCTTGAGCCAAACTGCGGGCCTAGACCGGCGACAGAGTGCCTGGTCCCATGAGTCGAGTCTGTGTACATGTTCAGCCTTGAGCAAAAAGAAAGAAGAGATAAGCCCTTGCCAACGTAGTTTTCCTTGAACACCAGCCTTATCAAAGTTGCGGCTGCCTGGGTTTCCTTCAAGCCAAGCCAAACGCATCAGCTACTCTCACAGGTTTTGAGGTCTTGCACTCCAACCGCTTGGCAAATGACTCACATACGCTCTGTCAAGGCTCGCACGGCCGCCGATGGAGACATCTTCACTGAGACGCTCCGCCACTCGCAGCAAACCTGGCACGTCCGAGCCCTCTGTTCAACAAACACGGCAGCAATGCGGAGAATATAATACTTGAGGGAGCAAAACCACCACACCTGGACAAAAACATGCAAAAACACAAGCCGCTCTATCAAGCCATGCCTTCAGCAATGTTCTCTACGTAGTTTGCATCGATCATGGGATAATCGGCTCGCTGATGACCTGGAGCAGAACTCGATGCTTCCTTTAGTTGCAGGCTGCAGGCTATGCGTCCGAGACACTGATGTCCAAAGAAAGCCTGAACGGCAGGCGGCGATTCCAGTACTGGTCATCATCATCACCGTAGACCTTGGTAGCAAACTGCCACGTTCGCATGCGCAACCAAGACACATAGCAAATTCCAGTCCCCAGAGCCAAGAAAGAACCTAAAGCAACCGTAGCAACAATGCCAAACCCAGATAATCATCCACCACACAAAGAATCTTGCATTGGAGAACTACTGCAGTCCTCTCCGACATGTCAACTACAAGTACTGCACACATCCATCACTAGGAATACTAGGACTCAATATGGTGCACATGTCCCTCGCCGCTCACAAGGACTCATCCCATGCTGCTAATCAGATCGTGCGTACGGCCCTGCGACGGAGCACAATATGGGTATGTGATTTTTTTGACGTGGCCGTGCCGGGAGGTTGGTATAAGGGGTATGAATCGCAGGTATGGTTCGGGGTATGGCTCGGGGGTATGATTCGGGGTATGGCTCGCGCGCCTCTAAACTCTTGCTTTGTGGCTTTGGACACTGCAAAGCTCCCGTGAGCTGGCAACTGGATAGCCGTGAGAATTTGGACCGCTTAGTTGCTACAAGCCAGCCTGGGGCGCTTGTGAGTGGCCTGAACTGGACAGCTGCCACTGTGCGTGAGTGGGTGTGCGAAAGCTGCGGCGCTAGGTGGAAGGCGCAAGAGCCACTGCCTGCGGCGAACGTCATTGTCACCTCCACGCGCCGGAACGGCAGTACACGTACCAAGGCCGAGCGCGCAAGTCCACCGCTTGACGCAGGAGCGAAAGCGCACTTGGGATAAACAGCAAGCAGCTCGTGCGAGCCTGCGCACTTTTGAAATGCAATTACGCGTGCGTCGCCATACAAACTGTCAGCTGGCGCGTGACGAACTGTGAGCTAACCTGTAGCTTTTACCCTAAACGCCAGCTGCTTGGGGACAGACAGTTTATTGCGTTGCCCGCAGGACAGGCCCTACTTGCATACCCTTAGCTAAAGCCTTCAAGCAGGCTTGCAAGGTGAGCAGGTCTTAAACTCCTTTTGGATGCAAGATCCTTTTTTGTGTTTTTTTTTAAGGGGTATGAATCGGGGTATGAATCGGGGGTATGAATCGGGGTATGATTCGGGGGTATGGCTCGCCCAAGCCCCACCTCCCACGAAGACTAAAGAACTGACACGGTAAAAAAACACAGACCCATATGAGGCCACGATGCAATTTCTCTGCGGAATGGGTCAATTTACAAACGTTGGCAAATGCCGGAAGGTTCACCAACAAAACGTCGGCGAGTGGGTAAGTCTGAGTCTTGGAGGACAAGCACCAATGAACCACAGCGAACCGGCAAAGCAAGTATCAAGTGGTTCCTGATAACTTGCAATGACGATGTAGCACTGTCTACGGCTGTGCCTCAACACCCGTGAGGCCCCCACACCGCCGATCCGCACACTCACCGTGCGCATGCCAGTCTTCGAGTGCTTCTGCAAAATAAACCTCAGCAATGCCGTGCGAATGCTTGTGTTCGACGGCCTGATGATAAGCCAGTCTGCTGTCGCCGGCCGCTGTTGGTGTGCAGGTTGATAAATTGACTGTTTGCTGCTACTGCCGCTGGCATAGGCAAGCTTATTTTCAAACTCGACTGCTGATGCAACAGCCACGCGGAAAACAACGTGTACACACCTGGGCTGCCCTCAGATCCCCTGCTAAAAGCTTAACATTTAGTGGGTTAATTGGAAACCACCACTAAACCAACTAAAAGGCTCAAAAGCTAAGTTGAACCGGATGGCTGGGAGCCACCAGGAAACTTGGTTGCTGTTGACCCCTCTGCATTTGTTTTAAAACTTTTTGTGGGTTTAATAGAAAACCCCCTTGATGCCCCAACAAGTTAAAGGCTAAAGATCCAACCCAATAGCAGTCAAGGAAACGTGACGCATTGGCCAGGAGTTGCGGTGCACCTCGCATCCCTTTCTGTGCCAAGGCGCTGCTCTGTCATGGCCTTGGACAGGTCATAAGGGGAACGGAGTGAGGTCAGCGGAGGGCTGGCGTCCTTCTCGCTTTCAGCCTGAGGCATCGGTGGCATATGGCTGCGGTTGTCCAAAATAGGGAAACCCCCAAAATGGCTTGCCCTGGTAAATGGAAACATGGAAACTAAAACCTGGGGTCCAATTCCTGGCGGGTGCCCATGTTGCGAGTTGGCTGTCGGAATGTGCACACATCGCACTTCTGAGGCTGATACTCTTATGCGCTTGAGTGCACGTGTGGCTGAGCCACCAGCCGTGTTCTTGTGTGGAAGCCAATGATTACACGCCGCAAAAGATGACACCTTAGCGGCTGGCGTGGCTGGCGCGGCATCGCTTTCAGACTTCAGACGCTTCTCGGCCGTGGCGCATATACAAGGCTGCCAACTTTGTGTAGCTCGGCCAGGTTCACCAAATCACAAAGACCGGCCAAGTTCACCTGGCCGTGCACAGGCCATGCAAACACCATGCAAAGGCCGTGGTCCTCTCAAGGCAATCGGCTTTTTTTCACCCCGGATCCAGCCCAGCCTCCATAAAGCCCTGGTAGGAGGCTCCCACCAGCGGAGGCTTTACTGCAACGATCATGGTTCTAACATCGTACCTTGGTCAGACAAACAGCAACGCCAAGCAAAAAGGTGCTCAAAGCAGCATGTCCGTGTAAGGAAACTGGTGACGGCTTGGCAACTGTTGTCTTCCAAAGGATTGTCACCATAGGTGACCTTTGATGGGGGTCCCCTGGCAAATGGGCAAAGAACCGAATCCAAACCGGTGGAACCTCTGATTGTCATTGCCTACTCCCACTGACCGGGCGGCTTTTGAAAAAGGATCGTCTCGATGATGGCGGGGTCTCGGAGATCAGCCTCAGGCTTGGCCACGGGTGCCCCGTTTCAGCTTGGTTTCAGGGGAAGCCGAAGGGACAACGACTTCCAAAACATTAGGCCCCCTGTGGACGAAGTCCATTTTGCACCACCGTTCAGAAACCCAGGTTTCTGAAGATTCCCTGCAAAATACCAACCAAGAATGGCTTCAACCATGGCTTCTCCTATGGCTTCGAAGTGGTGCAGGAGTTCGTCCATCCACCGATGTTGACACACATACCTGTAAGCTTGAAGCAACAAGGGATTGCGGTATCTCGCAGTTAGGCGTGCATTGGCACTGCACGTTGATACAATTCCAGTGCCACTTGCCAATATTGCAAGTCTCTGGCTGCTTTGTCAAGAGCTACTTGGCACTTAGGAACAAAGCTCGACCGAAAGCGATCCAACGTACCCTTCGGGTTGGCTGTGGCCACATGTGAACACAAACCCAAAATGGGTGACTCTTTGTTAAGGCGAACCCTCTTTTGGTTTGGGAAACCCAAGGGAAATCCGCCATTTTCTGGGGGTCCTATGAGGAAAGAACGCGCACACACAAATAGCACATCGTTGTCTAGTCCTGAGGCTAGTGGGCACGCAGGATGCGATCGGGCTGCGCGAGCAATCCTTTTCGCGCCATAGGCTTGAGTTGTGTTTCAGTGTTGCGTAGGCAGTTTACGGAGTTCTGACCGCAGCTCACTTCATGAGTTCTGACCGAGATGTGCCCAATACATAAAAAGAAAAGCTGTTTGTGCACGCCATGGGCACCCCCCAGAAGAGTGGGAAAAGTCCAGAAGTCCAGGGACTCAGAGAGAGTGAGGCAGATGTCTGCAACTAGTTAACCAGCAGCTAGTCCCAGCCTATGGTTCCACAAGGATCAGGGGCCAAGGGCTTGAGCCACTTGGCTTCCATTTGCTGCAAAGCCCACTGGCAAAACAATATATAATATGTCCAGTAGTCATAGGTTCAGTTAAAATCAAGGGAGACTTAAACATATTCTCCACCAAATGGAAGTTCGGGGATATCCCACCGCTATCAACAAATAACAACAGGTGGTTGGCTGCTCCCAATGCAACTTCTTTGACTAAGGACGAGAGGTTTGCGGATCTCGAAGATCAAACCCAGTTGAGGACACCACGGTTCTCATTTGGTGTGCCCTCAGAATGTTTGGGCTAAATGAGTAGGCCATGTTGGAGGCTGATTTCCCAAAAAATAATAATTAAGCCATAAGTAGCGGATAATTGACTCATAAACTAGGGGTTCGTACCAGCGGTTCATACATGCACGTATACATTCAGCCGTTCATGTTGCCCCATCGCAAAATTATGCCCTCGTGTTTCTGCAACTTTGGGGGGGCCGATCGAGTTCCGTTCGATTTCCAAGCGTCCACAAGGCTCTCATCTGCAACGGTGCTCTTGCGAAGATCCAAGGAGAGCAGCTTTTCCCGTGATCCTGCGGCCTGCACGTGGCATAACATGGATGGCCACGAGTGTGGTTTGAAAGGAAAAGGCACAACTCGTTCAGACGCTTTTGGATGGAGAACTTACAGAACAAATGAGCAAGCCCTTGTCATCCCAAAATGGCCATGATCAGTCAGTGAGCTTTTCTCTGACTGCTCGCATTTTTTGACGGCCAGCTCCGAGATTCAAGGCATTGAATTAGGATCACATGGCATGAATTTCGCACTCTCGAATTAATCAACTACCCTTTGCCGAGTGGTTCCAGCGTGCTTGAGTATCTTGAGTCAAGGGCATGCAGCCCGACGTGAGACTCCGGCAGACGGCCACACGTGTCTACTCAAACTGAACTCCTCTCTTGCTTTTGATTCAATTTTGATTCGCACCTCTGGGGAATTGACTTGCTGCCTCCCGCAAAGGCTCCCTGTGAAAAATCCACCGAGCCTCAGCCAAACTAGACCAAAGAGCAGCGGAAGATCGAGGAGGGCTGCCTCTGGTCAATGGCCACCAGAGACTGACCTTCTGCCAGCAGAAGAACTGGAGGAACCAATGCTGAAGACCGGGCTGCGAAGCCAGAGCGCAGCGACTCCGCAGACAGGGCCACATTCCACCTGAGATGCTCCCACCGTCAGCAGGCAAACGGTGCCCCCCCACCTTTTTTTCCGCCCACGAGTCCATGAAAAGCCAGCGTTTATACGCATGCAATGGTATCATATACACGCATATCGAAAAATACCGCAACATGTAGATATCAGTTTATCAATGCACCAGTATATGCACACATCTTGGCTGTGCAGGAAGACCCTGAAGGCTGTGCGGAAAACTGCTCACAAAGAAAGAGCAACTGAGAGACAAAGAGAGAGAGAGAGAGGGCAAACAAAAACACAATGGACACAACTAGAGCGCCACCGCCGCTCATCAACCACATTCTCTGAGCGTGGAGGGGCGACAGCACCCCATGGGCCGAATTCGATCACCTCTAGTTGATGGAGCCACACCCCATCCTCATTGGTTGCAAGAACCAGGGACTACTTCAAATCCAAGCCACCACCCAACTGCTTTTTCAACCATGTCCAACACAAAACGTGTCCCCTTCAGCAGTCATATTGGGGGTGGTAGGTTACCAGCGTTGGGGTCAATGGGTTCCCCCTTCCAAGGTCGCAATTTACCGGTGACTTCGATTGAACCTGCCACGGTTGGAGCTTTCCAAAAGGGAAATGGCTCGGAAGCCCTGTCGTACAATCCTGAAACCCCGCCCTTTTCATTTTGTTCACTTCTCCGTTTCCTCCATTTGCTTAAGTCCCCTGGAAAATGGTTCCAGCATAGTGATCGATCCCCTTTAAAACCAACAAGGGGAAATAAACAAAAATAAATAAATAAATACATACATAAATAAAACAATAAATAACTAATATATATATATATTCTTCACCAACCGGAAGCATTGGTTCATGGACGCAACTTTGAAAAACCAGCAGTTCCTGCAGGAGTGATCTTGACATGGTCAAACCCAGTGACCCCGTCCCGAAGTTAACCCCATGGACGTTGTTTTTGCTTTTCAATGGGTTAACTTGATAGGACGTGTTTTTTTGTTTGTTGTTTTTTATTTTTTCAATGGACGTTTTTTTGTTTTTTTCCCCATAGGTGGCCTTTTGGAACAAATAGATGGGTGTCCCTGGTAAATGGTTTATAAACCCCATCTAAACCAGGAATCGCCTCTATTTTTTTAAGCAAGCCACCCAAGAAGGACACCTATGCTTTTTTAGTAGCGAAATCGATCCCCTTTGAAACCAACAGGGGAATTATTTATCTAAGAAAAAAACTCCAGTAAAGATAGATTCCCTTTAAAACCAACAGGGGAATTATTATTTATTTATTTTTTATTTTTCTAACAAAGAAGGAATCCAGTGATGATAGATTCTCTTTAAAACCAACAGGGGAAACATGAAAATCTTAATTTCACCCAACGGACTTCTTGTTTTTCTGCCCGAGCTGCACCGCCGCGGGCTCCCACTGGTGGGAGCTGCGCTCGCTGCGCAGCAGCCGGCCGTCCGCGCCGATGGAGAGGACCATGTTGGGGTTCACCGCGGGCCTCCGCATGGTGAGGCCTCGGTCCAGGGGAAGTTTTGGGCCATCAAAAATCCACCGAGAGGGTGGATTTCCGGAGAAAAAGAAGAAGAAAACAAAAACCTGGATGAAGGGAAAGGGCTCTCATCAGGAATCCCCTCGCGGATCCAGAAAAAAAAAAACATGATGAAGGTAAAGGGCTTGGGGTTGCCACTGTTTAAAAGACCAAAAGGAAAATGGCGGGTAGGGATTCTGGGAGCCACTGGGCCTGGGAAAATGGGGGGGTTTGAACCAACCCCTACCCCCTACCGCCACCAATCGAACCATTTTCCGAGAACCAGGCCCAGTGGATCCCAGGTTCCCTAGGTCACCCATTCTCCACGTGGTTCCCTGGAATCCACCTGGAAACTGGGCTGCCCGTTTTCAGATCCGCGAAAAGTCACTTTTAGTGGGTTAAATTCGGAAACCACCACTAAGCCAACTAAAAAGCTCAAACGCTAAGGAACCGGATGGCTGGGAGCCACCGAGGAAAGGGAACCCTTTGCCTAAAAAAAAACGCTCCGAGGCTCCGTGGTGGAGGCTACGCGGCTGGGACGCTGGAGGCTCTCGAATGGCCACGATGGCCTCACAGGCAGTGGCCCCAGAGAGGTGGTGTCGGGAAGCCTTTGCCAGCCCTATCTCGGAGCGGAGAGTTTGCATGTGGGCACCTTTTTCACCTGGAAAATCACCACTTTGGGGGGTACCGGGGGTACCGTTTTTGGACATATCCCATGTGGCCCGCAAACCCGAAACGGGCACCCCCATCCTGCGACTCCACAAATCCCGTCGACCACCACGAAACGAAACCAAACGGGTCAAACCAGATAGAGGTTTGTTGGTGTTTACGTTGGGGAATCGAATCGGAAACCAGGGGTTCTGAAAGGTGGTGCGAAACAAATTCCGCCCATCCACAGTGTTTCCCTGAAAACGTCACCCTGCCGGAAAGCCACCTTGGATTCGCCAAACAGACGATGACTCAAAGAAAAGAAATCTAGAGCGTTCTCAACATGGTGGACTGCCCTTTAAACTCAGTGCTACCCTGTTCTTTTGAAGCTTAAAGAGAAGCAACCCAGAAACGGTCAACATAATAATCCCAGACACGCGAGCGTCCTTCAGATTCCTTTCGTGCAGCCTGAAACCCGCTTGTTAGAACACGGTTGGGGTCTCCAGACAAATGCAACTCCCCAACTGAACTGCTGAACCCTCCTCTTGTGCGGCGTTGACGTTCAACAGGCCTATAGCCGAACAGCAAAGAGCTCGACGAAAACAGCAGGAGACTACGTTTGGAGCGTTCGCAAATATTTCTTGGAGAAAACAAATATTGTAAATTAATTGTTTGGCAAGGTTGCCTGCTGCAAAATGGGTTGATCAATATTCCCTTCGGCCTCAAATTGCCCACCACCTTTTGAGCTTTCCACCCTGGCCAGATCGGTCACCATGTATCCTTCCCTCTCCAAACGGGCCTGCGTTTTGAGCGTCCCCAGGCTGGCAAAGAGCAAAGGCAACCAAAAAACACCCGAAAACCATTTTGAGTGGTGCATTTTCCACGGAAAAAAATAGTTCCCAGTCCACAACTAGGTCCAGTAGAGAGGTTAGAATAAGTTGGTACCCTTTTCCTGTCTATTTTACGGGAACCGAATCTCCCAACCGAAAAAGGGGCCTTTGCACCACTTGGACCTAGCCCAGGTCCCCAGGCCACGTCCACTCGCCTGGATGGGCACGTTGGGGCTATGCTTGTTGCTGCGGAAGCGTCCGGAGGAGGCCGCCACGGAGATGGAGCCGTGCGCCTCCTGATCGATCGTCGATGTCCGTTTTTCTTTGTTGCTTTTTTTTAATCTTATGTTGTTTCCTTTTTGTGGTGTCCTTTTTTAAGGTTGGTGTGGTTCAAACAAAGAAGGCACTGGTTTAGATGTTGTTGTGTTTTCCCCCCTTGTGGTGTCTTTTTCTAGGTTAGTGTGGTTAAAGAAAAATAGAAGGCACTGGTTTAAAAAATGTTTTGTTCCATTTACCAGGGAAACCCATCTATTTTTCCAAAAGGACTCCTATCGTCTCGATTTGTTTTCTGGTTTGGAGGCCAGTCCCTGTCTTGGGCACTGCGAGGAGGAAACGGGTACCCCTTTGAGGGCCTTAAAAGGAAACTCATCCTTTGGTTCGGGGAAGCCAGTCCCAGTCTTCAGGTTCCCCTTCCTTGGTGCGGGAGCGGATCAGCACGAGACCGCAAAGCAAGAAAACGCCGCAGATCAGCGCGGAACGCGTTAACCACCAAACCACCAAACAATTAGATGCAAACTGAAGCCTGGATCGCCTTGCAGGAAATCGCTTGTTTTTCAGTGGAGAACCTTGAAGGGGGCAAGTCCCAGAACATCTTGAAGAAGGTTAGGATATGAGATGAGTTCGGAGAAACCTTGGACGCTGATATGGGGCAGTTCTTGGCGGCTTAAGCCTGGCATCGAGCCAGCCCAGTCCCCCCCCAATTTTCGCACAGCATCATCCCCCCACCCCAATGTTAGGTCTTTTCAATGTTGAAGACAAATACGGCCTAGTAGATTTACTATCAGGACAAGTCTGGGCGGTCCTCAGATCCCTGCTCAAAGTTCAACTTTTGGCGGGTCACAGTTGGAAACCTAACCACTAAACCAACTTTGAAAAAACACACAAAGTTGAACCAGACGCTTCGCTGGCTCCGAACCGCCAAGAGGCAGATTCCTCAACATGCTAGGTGCTAGGATTTCTACACGTTGCAACAGAAAGGGACTAAATTTAGCATCCAGACACCTGTGGATTCTGGGTGAATTATCGTATTTCACCAACCTGAAATAAGTTGGGGGGCTATTCCCCACATAAGCCACCATTTATGTTGAATTCGGTCTTGTCCTCCATTTGCTTAAGTCCCCTGGAAAAAGTAAAAACAATGCCAGTAGTGAAACCGATTCCCTTTAAAACCGACAGGGGAAGATACACAAAATATTCAAATCATTTCACCAAATGGAAGCTGTGAGGTCTTCACATAAAAGTTTATTTAAAAAAACAAAAAAACGAATCACCAAATATTCATATAAATTTGTCTTCACCCCGAAAAGCTGCTCCGCGCTTTCCTCCAGGAGGATGCCGAACATCTCCCCGCTGCTGAGGCCCAGCCAGATCCAGTCCAGGAAGCCTTCCCGAGAGCCCGGCTCCATGGGCCTCGGCTCCAGGGGTCCTTACCTCACCCCTTAAAAATCCCAAGGATTGGGGAAGTTCTCATCTTTTACAGACTTATAGCCCATGTTACCCCCAAAAAGTTGCGTTTTTAAAAGTAAATTACATACACCTGATCATTGCCTTGTAAATGGTGGTGTCCTGCCTTGTCAATGGTTCCTTCCTTGTAAATGGTGGTTTCTTGCCTTGCACATGGTGGTTTCAACCTTCTTTTTTGGTGTTGAAAAAGCAATGTGTCAAATGGTTGCAAAATGTATCTTTTAAGGAGCCCTGACAAAGCCGGCGGAGTTTTTGACGGGAGGTGTCCGTCTCGCATGGGCTGGAATCCACTTGGGGGGGGGGGGTGTTGTTGTTGGGTGGCCTTCCTTTTGGTTTCCCGTCAACGGCACAACACAAAGCTTAATTGCCCTCGACAAATACATACCCATGTGTAGCGACTTGTCGTACAAGCCGCAGCTGCTCAGGGAATTACGCTGTAACAATCAATGCGGTAGAAGCAACGTTGTGTGCATGCCATCGTAGAAAAGCAGCGACATCGAAACAAACGATCGCAGCCTAACATTGCTTTGCTGGCTGGACTCTTTGCGCAGCATTGACTTGTTGGGTCATGCAACCCTCCATTTGCTGACGTCCCCGGGAACAAAATAACATATTTTCAGCAGTGATCAATTCCCTTTAAAACCAAGGGGATAACAAAAAGTACGCTCTCTCTCCCACTAAAATGGCACCTGACAGGGGGTCCCTCCAAAAGGAAACTCATCTTCCAGGTACCCTCCCTCAGATGCCATGTTAGTGGGAGAGGGTATACTCATTTCAGCAAATGGAAGCATCTACTTGTTTCACGTGAATGTGATGTATGTTGGTGGCCTGCACTCCCTATAATCTCATGTCATCCGCCTCACTGCCAAGAACTGATTACAAACAAAAAACAACCCGTGCCGTTGACAACTGCTCACCTGCCTGATGCAATTGCATTGACCAAATCTGGGGATGTCTGCTTTGGAGGGTACCTTTTTGGCCTTTAAAGGACAACTCCGAAAAAGTCCAAACTTTTTGTTTGCCACTGAAATGGGCTTCCCCCAGAGTGACTCAAGTCCAGCAACTCAACCAGTGAGAAACCCAAAAGGACCACTGGAGCTCCCCCCCCAAAAAAAACAACAAACGAAAAAACAAAAACAAATTGTAGCGTCCATCCTGGATGGGAGGCCCTGTGCCCGCTTGCCGCGCAAGGTGCAGGGGGCACACCGAGGTCACGGTGCTGCCCGTATCCCGGTGCAGGATGTGGGCCTCGCAGTCCTGCGCCGGGTCCAGATCGTCCAGCTCGATGTTTTGATCGTAGGAGACCTGAGCAACGCGACGCAACTTAGCTGACCCCGTGATGGACCACATGGGTTGAAACCAGTGTTTTTTGGGAAGAATCATTTTTAGGTGTATATTAATCAACCCCAATGGATTGAACCACATTGTTGTTGTTTGCTTGTTTTTTTACAGGGGAAGACTCTAGCAACAGTGACTGTTGTGTAGCTCCCAGTGTGGGAGCAGAGCAGGAGCCAGTGAACAGCAGGGAAGGAGGGAATCACCCCTATAACCCCTCCCTGCAGTTTCCTTTAAGGGGACCCAGGGTTCATTGCCACATTCCCTACTGACCAGCCAATTTCAGCTAGGCGCGGCATAGAGCCTCAACAAGCGATTGCCTGCAAGGATGAGGGTCTTGCCGGAATGCGACAGCTCGAAGTGCGAGATCACAGCTCCCTCCTTCTTCACTGCTTCGTCAAGAAGGTCCAAGTAAAGATTCTTGATGCTGTTCAAGCGAATGCCTGCAGCAAGATCGCAAGTGAGGCCATGCATTCCTTTCCAATACAAGCTGTACTCATTGCACATGAAAAATGCAGGAAACAAGGAGAAAAGCTCGAGCAGGTGTATTTATTGCTGAGGCACGCCCTCTGGAGACGGTGTAGATGTTGATGGCCAACCAAGGGCAGTCATGCATTCGGCCCAGGATGGCCAGCACGTGGTTGGGTCCGGTTTTCGGCAGGAAGCACATGCGATAGACGTGCCAAAAGGGCTGTAGCTTCAAACTGGCCAGTGCGACCACTGCTTGGTGTTGGGGGTCCTCAGTGGTGCCCGCCCAGCGCCACACCAGGATGGTGTTCTGACGCTCGCAGTGGGCAAAGATCTGGCTGTTCTCCTGAGATTCGCTTCTCCAAAGACGAAACCTTCCTGAAAAAAGCCCAGTTCTACGCGTAAATTACACCAACTCAGGGTGGTTGCCACTCTTTTCCAAAGATGAGATGATGCAAAGGTTTCAACTCAACACTTTTTCCAGAGACGAGAAAGCCCAGTTCTACCCGTAAATTACACCAACTCAGGGTGGTTGCCACTCTTTTCCAAAGATGAGATGATGCAAAGGTTTCAACTCGACACTTTTTCCAGAGACGAGGTGATGCAAAGATTTCAAAACAAGCATCCACAAGCTGTCGGGTCGATACTGCTATCTACTTCTCACTATTGGCGACGTAAGGGTGGTCCAACATGTCAACAACAATGCGCACGATGAATAATGAACACTTGCAAAGTGTAGTTATCAGCAAAATCGCCAATCGGCCAATCGGGGTATGTACCTGCGATCGGCCAAGGGGAGCACTACAGTTTCACACCCACACATGTGTTATGTGTGTACAAACGGGTGGGTTACACATGCATGCTCAGCGTGCATTGAATCCGCGCACAACGTGATCCGTCGGCACAAGGACATAGCCTCCCAACATTGTTCTTGAGCAGCCTTTATCTAGGCCTCCCTATATATATATATAACTCCAACCAGACTGGATAGCATAACTACCTAACATGGCCGGGGGTACAAAAAAACAAGCTCACAAACTTGTAGCCTCCGACCAAGGCTCTGCGCTCTGGCACATCACTGAGATCTTCTCCATCTCAGGCGCTGAAGCGACCGGAACCGCCCGGCCTGTGTTGCAACAGTCCACTAGGCGCACGTCCGCGAAGGCCGAGGCCCCCGTCTTGCTGACGAAGGCAGAGCCCAGCAGCTTCGCACACTTCAACTTCCCGGCGTTGAAGAAGAGGACGCTCTCCCGAGCCTGGAGAAAAAATCGGCATTGCTCAAACACGGCGGTTCTGCGGACGCCTGCAAATGGCTGTGGCTCAAAAAAAGTGTGCCCAAATGGCCCCCTTGGGAATTGGAACCAAAGACTAGAATCTGCGTTACCCTAGCATCTCTACTCTTGGCATGGTAGCAAAAAACTTTGTTTTTTGCAGACCCCCAACCAAAAAACAACAAAAAACATGCCAAGAACAGTGAAACTAGCTCTTGCATTTTGAGCCACACCCAAATGTTTACGCCCTGGATCTGAAAAGTCATTCTCGACTCACAGTGTCGGACGGGCCTGGGCCTGGAACAGGCCGTCATACTCCGCGGAGCTGACCTGAGGCAGAAGCAACGGCACTAACGTGGTCCACCCAAAATCATGGTCAAGAGATGTCAAGAGCGGACATGTTCGTACCCATTTTTGGCTGGGACTGTCCCGTAAAAAAGAAGAAGAAAAGGAAACAAAAACAACACAAACACCTTTCACCTCGCCCAATCGGGCGGTTTGGGATGACCCACCTCCTTGTGCAACTTCTCGTTGATGGAGGGCATGTCGCAGCCAGCCATCGTCACGAAGATCTGCGGCGTAACCGCAGCGCTAATTTTTAAATCCATGGACTGGAAGGGAACGCCCAGCTTCCTGGTGACGATCGCCTCAGGGGTCTCCATGTCATGGTTTTTCCCCAAGGGTTTCTTAACACAACGCCCTTTGGGCCATCTTTTATGGTGAGGTTCCTTTGGTTTTTCCCCAAGGGTGTTCTTTAAACAACGCCCGTTGGACTATGTTCTATGGTGAGCTTGCTTTGGCTTGTCCTCAAGGGTGTTCTTTAAACAATGCCCGTTGGACTATTTTTTATGTTGAGGTTGCTTTGGCTTTTCCCCAAAATGGGGCCCTTTGGGCTATTTTTTTCCCGGAAGCATTGCGAAGGGTTCTTCTTCTAAAAGCGGCTGCCAACTTCACCTGCCAACTTCTCATGCCAACTTGTCGAGAGTTACTTCACCTGCCAACTTCTCATGCCAACTTGTCGAGAGTTACTTCACCTGCCAACTTCTCATGCCAACTTGTCGAGAGTTACTTCACCTGCCAACTTCTCATGCCAACTTGTCGAGAGTTACTTCACCTGCCAACTTCTCATGCCAACTTGTCGAGAGTTACTTCACCTGCCAACTTCTCATGCCAACTTGTCGAGAGTTACTTCACCTGCCAACTTCTCATGCCAACTTGTCGAGAGTTACTTCACCTGCCAACTTCTCATGCCAACTTGTCGAGAGTTACTTCACCTGCCTACTTCTCATGTCAACTTGTTTACTTCACCTGCCTACTTCTCATGTCAACTTTTTGAGAGTTACTTCACCTGCCAACTTCTCATGTCAACTTTTCGGCTGTTATCTCATTCTACTAAAAGCACAAGCTAATTTGTCGGGTGTTACTTCACTATCCTAAAAACACAAGCTAACTTTTCTGTTCTACCTTCACATCTCGACTCTTAATTCTTCTTCTTTTTATGGCGGGGGTAGGCCCGACGGGAGCTTACGAAACGCACCCCTCTGCGGAGATCGTGCGTGTCGAAGCGCTCTCGCTGTGGCGCCGTGCGAATTTGTCTTGACCTTGGCGAACCCTCTGCGGAGATCGTGCGTGTCGAAGCGCTCTCGCTGTGGCGCCGTGCGAATTTGTCTTGAGCCGGCGAACCCTCTGCGGAGATCGTGCGTGTCGAAGCGCTCTCGCTGTGGCGCCGTGCGAATTTGTCTTGACCTTGGCGAACCCTCTGCGGAGATCGTGCGTGTCGAAGCGCTCTCGCTGTGGCGCCGTGCGAATTTGTCTTGACCTTGGCGAACCCTCTGCGGAGATCGTGCGTGTCGAAGCGCTCTCGCTGTGGCGCCGTGCGAATTTGTCTTGACCTTGGCGAACCCTCTGCGGAGATCGTGCGTGTCGAAGCGCTCTCGCTGTGGCGCCGTGCGAATTTGTCTTGACCTTGGCGAACCCTCTGCGGAGATCGTGCGTGTCGAAGCGCTCTCGCTGTGGCGCCGTGCGAATTTGTCTTGACCTTGGCGAACCCTCTGCGGAGATCGTGCGTGTCGAAGCGCTCTCGCTGTGGCGCCGTGCGAATTTGTCTTGACCTTGGCGAACCCTCTGCGGAGATCGTGCGTGTCGAAGCGCTCTCGCTGTGGCGCCGTGCGAATTTGTCTTGAGCCCGATGAACCCTCTGCGGAGATCGTGCGTGTCGAAGCTCTGCGCGTGCGTGGCGCCGTGCGATTTTCTTGCTCGCGAAACGGCTTTTGGAAGTTGTCTCGTGGTGTGCGCGCCTGCTTTCGCAATCCCGCGGTCCCGGGTTCGATTCCCCCCTGGTCCGCGGCAGCTCCGGCTTGAAAATCGCAGCTTTTAAGTACAAACGTAGTACGCGGAGCGTGCTCCTGCAGCTCCGGCTGGCAAATCGCAACTTTTAAGTACAGACGTAGTACGCGGAGCGTGCTCCTGCAGCTCCGGCTGGCAAATCGCAACTTTTAAGTACAGACGTAGTATGCGGAGCGTGCTCCCGCAGATCCGGCTGGAAAATCGCAACTTTTAAGTACAAACATAGTACGCGGAGCACATTCCCGCAGCTCCGGCTGGAAAATCGCAACTTTTAAGTACAAACGTAGTACGCGGAGCACACTCCCGCAGCTCCGGCTGGAAAATCACAACTCTTAAGTATAAAAAAATAGTACGCGAAGTACATTCCCACAGCTCCGGCAGCACTTGCTCAGAGCAACTTGCGTAGAGCAACTTGCGCAGAGCAACTTGCACAGAGCACTTGCACAAAGCACTTGCGGACCTATCTCGGCGCGGAGAGCGTCTCCCCAGCTCCGCCGGAAAAAGAAGAAAGAACTCAGAATCGAGAAGACCGTGCGATTTTCTTGCTCGCGAAACGGCCTTTGGAAGTTGTCTCGTGGTTTGCGCGCCTGCTTTCGCAATCCCGCGGTCTCGGGTTCGATTCCCCCCTGGTCCGCGGCAGCTCCGGCTTGAAAATCGCAGCTTTTAAGTACAAACGTAGTACGCGGAGCGTGCTCCTGCAGCTCCGGCTGGCAAATCGCAACTTTAAGTACAGACGTAGTACGCGGAGCGTGCTCCTGCAGCTCCGGCTGGCAAATCGCAACTTTTAAGTACAGACGTAGTATGCGGAGCGTGCTCCCGCAGCTCCGGCTGGAAAATCGCAACTTTTAAGTACAAACATAGTACGCGGAGCACATTCCCGCAGCTCCGGCTGGAAAATCGCAACTTTTAAGTACAAACGTAGTACGCGGAGCACACTCCCGCAGCTCCGGCTGGAAAATCACAACTTTTAAGTATAAAAAAATAGTACGCGAAGTACATTCCCACAGCTCCGGCAGCACTTGCTCAGAGCAACTTGCGTAGAGCAACTTGCGCAGAGCAACTTGCACAGAGCACTTGCACAAAGCACTTGCGGACCTATCTCGGCGCGGAGAGCGTCTCCCCAGCTCCGCCGGAAAAAGAAGAAAGAACTCAGAATCGAGAAGACCGTGCGATTTTCTTGCTCGCGAAACGGCCTTTGGAAGTTGTCTCGTGGTTTGCGCGCCTGCTTTCGCAATCCCGCGGTCGCGGGTTCGATTCCCCCCTGGTCCGCGGCAGCTCCGGCTTGAAAATCGCAGCTTTTAAGTACAAACGTAGTACGCGGAGCGTGCTCCTGCAGCTCCGGCTGGCAAATCGCAACTTTTAAGTACAGACGTAGTACGCGGAGCGTGCTCCTGCAGCTCCGGCTGGCAAATCGCAACTTTTAAGTACAGACGTAGTATGCGGAGCGTGCTCCCGCAGCTCCGGCTGGAAAATCGCAACTTTTAAGTACAAACATAGTACGCGGAGCACATTCCCGCAGCTCCGGCTGGAAAATCGCAACTTTTAAGTACAAACGTAGTACGCGGAGCACACTCCCGCAGCTCCGGCTGGAAAATCACAACTTTTAAGTACAAAAAAATAGTACGCGAAGTACATTCCCACAGCTCCGGCAGCACTTGCTCAGAGCAACTTGCGCAGAGCAACTTGCGCAGAGCAACTTGCACACAGCACTTGCACAAAGCACTTGCGGACCTATCTCGGCGCGGAGAGCGTCTCCCCAGCTCCGCCGGAAAAAGAAGAAAGAACTCAGAATCGAGAAGAGAAGGTAGAAAAGGAAAAGTCGGCTTGCAATGTAACGCCTGAAAAAAATACGTGCGCTTTACGATGCCGAAGAAACGCCCGAGAAGTTAGTTTGCGTTTTAGGATAGTGAAGTAACACTCGAAAATTTGGCTTGTGTTTTGGGACAGTGCATTTGGCTTGTGAAGTGAGATTGGGCAGTTGGCAGTTGTCATTGGCTTGTGAAGTGAGATTGGGCAGTTGGCTTTTGTAATTGGCTTGTAAAATAAACATGCGCAGTTGGATTTTGGAGTGATAGGCAGCTGACAAGAGCAATAGTAGCCGAAGCTTGGATGTCATGAGTGTCTCAGTAGCGGAGCTTGCCCAGAGAATGTTTGCGTCGACAGTTGATTAGGGCGACACGGCTTCCCGACCTGATTTATCGAGTTGTAGAAAAAAGATACATCGCATCATTTGCAGCCATGGCTCCTTTCGGTTCTTTGTTGTCAGAGCTGGGTTTTGAGAACGTGGATGCTTTCACGGTGCCTTTCGCAGACGTGAAGAAGAAGTACTTCCAGTGGCTTCGCCAGAACCATCCTGACAAGCAGGCCAACAGCTGCACGCCGCAGGTGGATCCGGAGCGAGTGAGAGCTGTCCTGGCAGCCTGGGACGACTTCCGTGATTTTCGTCAAGGAGACCAGTCGTCCGCTGCCTCTTCCCGCCGTGAAGAGCCGCGTGCTGCTGGCGAAGCGGATCCATGGGGATACCGGCAAACTGGTCGCTTTCCATCGGCAAAGCCTGCTTCCAAGTCGGCATCCTCTACTTCTGCGCCCAAGGCTGCGCCGCATCCTCCGGTGGATGTGGGACCTTGCTTTCACGCTCCACACTGCAAGAAGTTCTTCAAGAAGCACGGCCAAAAGACGGCCAAGAAGATGAGGGAGTACTTGTTCTTGTACGCAGCGGAGGATCGCTGCCTGACATGCTTGCGCTTCTTTGCTGACTCGCCGGACTTCGATGTTGGCTGCACCTCTTGCGGCAAGGGCGCAGAAGAATGGGCGCTAGATGGAGCTAATGGCTTCCCGCTTGACGATGACTTGGTGGACTTCTTTGGAAAGCTGAAGCTGTGATGGACGGCGGGCGGTCTGTGCGGCGCAGGCGGATCTTTCCGAAACGTCGCCGACTGGCTCTGCATTCCACAGCTCCTGGACCTTCCGGTCTGTGCGGCGCAGGCGGATTTTTTTCCCTGGCGTCCTTGAAGTTGCTGGCGCTGCCAGGGCTTTCTGCCGCACACGATTGCTGCCGACAAAAAATGTGCATTATGAGTGTCTCAGTAGCGGACACGATTGCTGCCGACAAAAAATGTGCATTATGAGTGTCTCAGTAGCGGAGCTTGCCCAGAGAATGTTTGCGGCGACAGTTGATCAGGGCGACACGGCTTCTTTGTGTTGGTGCTATGCTTCATTTTTTGGAGGGGTGCTCCATGAGGTTGCTGTCGCTTGTCACTGCTGCTTGCACGTGCATTCATGCTCAAGGCAGTTTTCCGTG